TATATATATATATATATATGTGTGTGTGTGTTTTACTCTAATAAATTTTTTATGCCAAATATTACAATTACTGAAAATAGTTATATGTTACGTCGTCATATATAATACTACTACAATAGTAATACAACTGGCTCAGCATTGACATTATTGCATATCAGTAGTAATACTACTACAGTAGCAGTGACACTAGTAGTATTTTTATACATCCAAATAATATTGGAAACTTGTATGACCAACATTTAAATTCACTAATTTCACTAATTTAAAAATCGAGATCGAGATTTCGTTATCAATTCGAATTAGAATTAGTTTAGCTAGACTTTTAGAGTCGATGATATTTTTTCGTTGATTTCGTGCTCATTCATAAGAGACATTATTCCCTGAAATTCCTCAATACAAAAGTGACGTAATAAGATTATATTAAATAAACTACAAAGTACAAATAAAAGTAATGTTATTCAGAAGGAGTAGAACAATAAAATAAGATACAAAAAATTACTAGAAGAAAAGATGTAGATTTTATCGACAGTTGTAAAAAAAAATGTTCTAATTCATATAAAAATTCTACAATTTTCAAAAAGTTATAAAATTATTTATAAATTTTGAAAAAGCTTTTATGATTAGAGCGATATTGCAATTGTCGAAATAAAAAAAATGAAAAAAAAAATGTTAATTCGAATTTTGAACGAAAATATTCAAAATATCACAAAATTTATACCAAAAATATTAAAAATGCATCAAACTCTCATTGCACTCTCTACATACATAATTTTTTGTCACTTGAAAATGTTGAAATTTCGATGCAACTTCGTTGAAGTTTCGAATCGACAACTTTTTCATCGTAACGACGTCGAGACGACGTTTTTTCGAGGAACTATTTCTGACTGGGATGTTGTAATATACTCCTACCATAGCTCTTACTCATTCTAACGCGCTTGATAGAGTGAGTAAGAGCTGTTGTAAGAGTATGTTGGAATTTGCGAACAAATCTAATGAGTAACATTTTTTTGCGAACTTAGGAATTTCCCACCAATCTTCCTTCGCCATTAGGCTGCGTTCGGAAATACTCACTGGTGTGCCACTAATGTACACCAGCTGCGTTCGGAAATACTCAGTGTGCACTAGTGTGAGATCGTTTAGAAACGTCGAAAGAGTGCTACTAAATCATCCGTGCGAAAAGCAAGGAGAGTCGATGTGTTGTGGCAGCACAGACTTGCATAATGTATAAGGAACTCAACCAATCGAAATTCTTCTTTTTCATGGAATGGGAGAAAAGGACAATTACATTGCGTTCTTGGGTCAAAAAATTTTGAGCAGTTATATTAATCAAGAAAATTTGTCTAAGTTACTATTTTTTTATTTATTTTTATTCTAACTTTCTTTTTATATCGCTCTGCCTTTAAAAATATTTTACGCACATTATACAACAGATTATTTGTATAAATGTTAAATTGTAAGTGTCCAGTACTATTTAGAACAAAATTAACTGTTCTAAAATCGACAATCGCAGGAACTAAAATAGATCTTTGAACGATGAAGCAACATCCAGAATCTAAAGTTTTATATCACTGATGTCAAATTTCTTTAAGGATTTACAATAATAAGATCTGTTACAATCAGGATATGATTAGTTGTCAAATGCTGTTATGCTGATTCTTCAATGAGTCGGAAGTCTTAGTCAGTAAAGTTGACCAACACTTGTAAGAATAACGCTAATTGATCAAATTCATCGATTAAGATTAATAGGCCTTCTACAATGAGGTTAATGAGCCATAAGTCATAAATCAGAAATCAGAATCTTGACTACTGTGATTGGTTCATTTCTAACTTATAATTTATGATCTATAGCTTATTGTAGAAGGCCTATAAGACTACCGACTCATTGTAGAATTAACATTATATTAATTTGGATTTTCACGATGAAAAATTTTACCACATCTAAAGTCGATGTAGCAACATATAAGTACGATAGTGAAATGTTTAATAGACGCCGGTAATCGTGGAAAAAATAACTTATATTCCTTTCTTTTTACAATCATATACTGCCATCGTTCCTCTTTACAATCATTCTACCGTCTTTTTTCACCGGTGAATTGTTTGCTTGAGGTTAAAGTTAAACGTGAGCAGTGAGGTGGAATTGAGATGATACACGCCACATGGAAGCACAAGAAATGTAACACTTATTTAGAGACTTGTAGACGTAAGTAACGCACAAGCTCTGGCGTATGATGTACGATTTATTGCCGCCTTTTGGAAATACAGCATAATAAGTTGTATGTCATAAGTGAAAAAACTTATGCATTACTTACGTTTACGATTTAAGTCTAAGTGTTACGACAATTCTTCAACAGATCACGTGATCAAAATTGACGAATATCAAGTGACAATTTTGAACACGTGACCTGTTTTGACGCCAAAAAGTGTCAAATAAAAATCCAGCTCAAATCGGTGAGTCAATCAAGATATTGTTTTAGATCTAACAGAAATGGAAATAACAGTAAACTTATGCGTAAACTTATCCATAAACTTACAATAAGGCGAATTTTAATCAGTTGGAACTCGCCTTATGGATAAGTTTGCTGCTATTTCTATTTCCGTTAGAATACGTAGATCTAAAGCAGTTTGATTCTAATTGACTCATCGGTTTAACTTTACATCTTAAGGTTACGCAGAAATTTTGTCTGCGGCACTGCATCTCATTTTGCCACGCGGCAAGCGTTTCCGCGTCCAGTGTGCAGGAACCATAAGAAAAGTGAACGTTGCTATATAGTTTACATTGACTTTGCCAGAGGGCAGTAGTGCGCGATAGCATTTTACGGTTACAGATTTTGGACAATCGTGTCTTCTCTTAGGTTTCTCTCTACACACATACGCTTATCTACTTTTTCTTATGTTTATAAACGAGATCGTATAAAAGCACAAAGTGTGAAATAAATGTTTTGTTAGCGGTTTATTTAAGTATAACAAGATGAAACAAGTATTTTTTATAGTTTTTCTCTTGATAGTTTTGACAAATCAGGGTACAGTATATTGTTCATTATAAAGGGCGTGGCAGTGAATCCGATTATTATTCTCTCATTACTTCGAAATTTAATTGCAGGCGACAGCTTGTACTGTTACAGATGTAATAGTAATCATCCTGGATGTGGAACACCTTTAAATTGGTTGTGGTATTGGGGAGAAACTTGCCCAGAATACGACGACAAGTGTGTAAAGATAATTGAACGAAAAGGAGGTAATCATTCATTACATTTACAAGACGATATATTAATTTTTAGACGACATATGAAAGGGAACACACGTGTGTATATATCCTCCAATGATAAAAAACGTCACAGTTACATCA